CCAGTTTTATACAGACAGATCCAAGGAGTCTCGCTTCCTATCTATCTGGGAGTAGATTAATACGTCTTTCGCGGCCGCTTTCTCTCGCTTGTTTACCGAATATCCGTCGAATCTCGACTAAGCCCGGAGCGAAAAAAAGAGGAAAGAAACGTCCACGGCGCGTCATTTCGCGCAAAGGCTGCCTCGCGCAATCGCGATATTAACGCGACAACGAGAACCGTGCATGTCCAGGGCTTATTTATCGAGGCGATGCAGGCTTTCGCGAGATAGCAAGAAAGAGAGCAAGAGAGAGAGAGAGAGAGAAAGAGAGGAGGCTTTTCGGCTGACGTTTTATGCGCAACAAGAAGCGCTCCCGACGAGAGTACTTTACGCTGGTAATTTTACACTTTGTACGCTCCGACGCGAGCGAGTTCTCGCCATTCTGCGAATCGCCGAGATGTCCTCTCCCCGTCTCTCTCTCTCTCTCTCTCGCTCTCTCTCGCTCTTCTCCACCCTCGCCGCAGCGAAATTATTTTTACCCGCGGTCCCGCGCGTGGAGAACGCGCGCGCTCATCGTGAAAGTCAAAACACTTGCGCGCGGCGGGGTCCGCCGTTATATCAAACGTTTAATTGGGCGCCACATCGTGCCTGGCAATGCGAAATACCAGCGTAAATTTGATAGGACACTTGCTCACGCGTTTCCCGCGTGCCGTCCGACGTAAAAGCGCGAGCACGTGCGGCGGAGAGGCGAGGTGAACGTCATCGTCGTCGCGTGCTGGTGAAAAGGCCGACGCGCACATCTCGCTTCTCTCCGACGAATTCGCGCGGTACCAATCATTCGAGCGTCCGATGAGAAAGCAAGGTGCGCGTTTTATGCGATTTCGGGCTACGTGTCTCGCGGGGATCAGCGCGCAATCGCGAGCTGAAAGCGACGTCGACGATGTCGACGAGAGCGGCGAGGGAATAAACGGCAGTGGAATAAACGTCGAATCGCGGGATTTCCGCGCGAGCCTACGAAGCTGCGGAAGCTCATTAGCCGAGCGTGAAAAAGCTCGCAGGCTGCGAGGAAGTCGGATTCGCGCCGTGAATCTCGGGATAACAACGTCTCCGGGCGAACACGTAGGACGCGCTCTCGCCATTAAATTCCAGCCATTAACTTTTCCGCGACGCATGTTTCCCGCGCGCGCGCGCGCGCGCGCAGCCTCGGCTTCTTTGTCAACGAATCTTCCTTCCCTCCTCCTTTTCATTCTTTTTCTTCGTCCTCTCCTCGCCCCTCGCCCGGCCTCGTCGTCGTCGTCGTCGGCTCACAAGTACCGAGAATCTCGCAGCTGACCGAGAAGAAAGAGAGACGAGGCGCAGGAACGCGGCCTATAAATCACGTTAACGGCTTCTGGTCAGAGCCGATTACTATCGCGCGCCCTAACTCGCTCAAACAATAATTTGCTCCCGAGCTGCAGAAATTTACGGCGCGTACGCGCTGTCGGCCGGTGATTTTCAGCCGTGCCGTGGGACCCGTGACTTTTCTGCAATTTCTCGCGCCGCGCGCGGGAGCGCGACTGTTTGGGCTGGATAAAAGCGAGGAAAAAGGCGAGCGCGGTAAAAAGCTGCGCGAGCGCAGCCCGTAAATCTCCGAAGCGTCGCGCATTTCCTCGCTGGCCTTCCTTGTTCATCCGCACCCCCAAGACTTATCCCCCCTTGCCGCTGAGATGGGCGGGCCGCGCCTTTATTCTCGCGCGATGTTTCGCGCGTATCGTACGCGTCTACGGCCGCGTCTGCGGAACCCGAGCGGTTCCACGAAATGCCACGATTTCGCAAAGCGTCTCTCTCTCTCTCTCCTCTCTCTCTCTCTCTCTCTCTCTCTCTCTCTCTCTCTCTCTCTCTCTCTTCCACCCACGAGGTTCCATCGGACTTTAATAGAAACGGTCACCAGGGACAAATAGTCGAGCCCTCGATCTCTCCATCTTCCTGCCAGCCACTGGCTCGAAATTGGACATAGGAAGTCGCTTCCTCGCATACCGCCCATCAATCATCCGGCTAATGCAAATTGGACCTACGTCCGGCTTCCCCGAAAGTTGCGAGTGGCGAGATACAAGCAGTAGCCGAAAAAAAAAAGAATTTACGACGTTCCTGCCCGAGTGAACGATCGACTTAGTCCCTCGAATAGGGAGGGTATCGAGCATAAATAGTCTCCGAATTTCCACCCCCTCTCCCTCGCTCTATCGGCTGCTCAGAAAAGAGTCCCGTGTTCCTCCGTGCTCGAGATTTATGAGGCGAGTGTGCAAAAGTTGGTCGATGATCTCATTAGCTCGACAGAAATGAGTCATTTTACAAATGTGGAATCAGACAATCGGACTTGAGAGCTGGCGGAACGTGGTGGTATAACAATGACGGATACTTCGCTCCGATACGTGTCTCCTTACTATGAAGGAAAGTAACACGACTAAAGGTCCGACAATTTCTTTTCGCGAAGGGAGAGCAAGCTCGGGAAAAGACGCGAGATGCGACGCGACGCGACGCGACGCGACGCGACGCGAAAGGTCAGCTGCGCGATGATGGCGCGAAGGTGTGGACATCCCACCGGCTGATCGTCGGGAAACGGTGTAATGCACGACGACGACGACGACGACGACGACGGCGACGACTACGAGACGACTTCGTCTTCTTTCGTAGCGACGACGTCACGGTTCTATTTCTGGCCGCGTGGACGCAGCGATATCTTTAGAGCGACCATCGGTACAGTCTGTTTCCGAGCTTTCCTTCCTGCGGAGCCGGGAGCGTGCCAGTTGACGAGAGAAGGCGAGGCGGAGATGATTTATACCGACTAAATCGGACCGTTCCTCCACCCCTCCGTAGCGCCCTTAATTCCGCCTCGCTATACCTAGTTCGTCCGAGAGGACGCGCGGCCCTCGCGCGCCACGTCGGAATCGAGATCCTACGGCATGGTGGAGAGACGACGAATTTAGGCGCGGCTAAAAGCCGCCGGCGATCGTTTTGCAATCCTCGAGTGAGATCAAAGCAGCAGCGCCAACGGAAATATCGCGGCCCCGCCGTTCTCATTGTCAAGCAAGCTGATTAATGAAAAGCTCATTTGAAAAAAAGAAAAAAGAAGAAAAAGAAGAGAAATGAGAAAATACATTCTCGTCCGAGGAGACCCTCGAGACCCTCACGGGATCCTCTGGAAAATTCGAGAGTCTTACTCGAGAGGACGGGACAAATCCGTCCATCTCGAGCTTTAACATGCTCCCGAAGAACAATGCGAAATTTGTTTCCCAGAGCTTTCCAATCTCGCCAGCCGGTGATCGTTATCCTTCGACTCGCCCTTGCGCGTTCCGACGAAAACTTTACGAGCGGGGGCGAAATATACTTCACGAAATTGGAGTGATATTAGCATAGTAGCTGCGGAGCTCCGTTAAGAAGCCCCTACATTGTTTGTCGTCGTATTTCGTCCCGCGCTCTCTTTTCATCTTAAATTACATCTGCATAATTATTTCCTTAATAAGAATTTTCTTTATACCGGAAATTAAGAGACCTGACGGGGCTTGCACGAATACTGGCCCGAATTAGGCACCGCAACCATTTTTAATTGAAAATTTATCAGCCTGTTTACTCTTCAACGGTGTCAGATATTAGCGTTGGAATTTTTTCAAAAAGAAGATGCTAAGAACAGGGTATAAAGAAAATTGTATCCGAATCGATTAAAGAGACGTACCAGAATAAACGAGACACAGTAAAAAAAAGTATTCTAGTTATAAAATGATTTCTCCCATAATCTCATATTCTAAGCGAAGCTTTTTACAGAAAAAGGATTCTTTTTTCGATAAAGCGATTAAAGTTCACAACAAAACTGATTGGAAATTTATTTGTCATGATGATCTTATTTCACTCGTGCCTACTTATTGTAGAACTGGAGCCAGAAATATATATATATATATATATATACATATATATTATTTTTCGTTGTACATTATAATTTTTTTCGAATTAACTATAACCAGTAAGAATAAAGTACGGTAAGAATAAATAATAATCCTCTTAAAAAAAAGATGCAATAATCTAAAGTGTATAAGAAGAAATTTATATTAAAATCAATAAGATTTGCATCATACATGTAACACATAATCCCTCTAACTTTAAGAATAATGTGTTTATAATATTTTCCTCTTAATCTTAGAGGAATCCTCTTGAGTCTATATATAAGAATAAAACCCTCTAAATCTTAGGCTATATATATATATATAAGAAAAAAACCCTCTAAAATTTAGACAATTCCGCTTGTTTTGAAATTACTTTTTTTGGGGTGTATCGTCCGCTGACGGGTCGACGAAAACGTGACGGAGAGACGGTGACGACACGTCGAGCTGTCGGAGCCGCTTATGTAGTAGCTCGCTGTGTAAATTCGCGACTCCGGAAGCGATGCGCCTTCTAATCGACGCATCTCTAAATAAAGCGAACGGTGTCCTTACTGTCCCGCCGACTGCAGTCGGTGGCCGAGAAACGCGGCGGCTCTACATTGAACTATCTGTTGCCTCTGGGCCGGCGCCAAGATCCGGCGGGAAAAAGAAACGCCGGGCGAAGATCGGATTGGAGCTTCTCGTTCCCTCCGATCTCTACTCTCCGTCCCGATCATTACCCGAATATCCTCCGGGGGTAATTATCGCGCGATGTAAACCGCCCGGTCGAATAGCGCGCCGAGTGTATTTTCGTCAGCGTAAGCAAACACGATCGGCGAACGGGGAACTAAACGGGAACTAAACTCGGTTCATCGAGCGCGGAAATAAAGCAATTAAGGCACGCGCGTTCGTCCGATTTATTAATAACAGCCGATAGTTCGGCGTGAAAACGATAATAAGTTTCCTTACGCGAATGGCGCGAGGCCAAGCACAATAATTTCCAAGCCGCGGTGCCATCTTTTCCTGCTACTTTGCGCCTTTGTCAGTAATAATACGCGCGAGCGCGATACTCGATTCCCGAATATTTACTGAGCGCCGCTTATTTGTCCTGCTGACGTTATACGAGCCATGATCAAAGCCGTTTTATCATTGTTTGCGCACGTGACCGATCGTCGTAATCGTTGTAATAATCGAGTCTCCCACATCGCTGATGTTTTTGTCAATTATTACAGTGCTCGTCGTGATGATTAATTGAGTTTTCGTCAAGAAAATCGAAGATTCCAATTTCGACCGTGGAAGATCGATCGCGCGAAGTTGCAGATTGCCACAAATTAAAGATATGACAAACGCTCTTTCTTGCATCGCTAAATATCGATCGACGTCTTCGTCATGGCTGAACAGTTCGGCTTAAATATCGTTCGAGATGCATGACAAATTTTTACGCAAAAATGTAAACACGAAATCGTAAACTTACACCTATCACAACCTGCGCCGCCACAGAATTGCGCGTGGAAAAATTTCGGAATCTCACGATGCACCAGACTGAGATGCAAAATTGAACATTACGAAATATGGGTGACCGATAGAAGAGGTAAGTGAAAATATCTTTCAGTTGCTCGGCACGTTAATATCATTACTAATGAACAAATAATTATTTCCATATTTTTAATTCGCCGTGAATAATTATCGACGATGTTAAAAAAATCAGGAACACCGCACGCGAACAATGGCTCGAAACTTCTAAGCATCCTCTCGTGCAGTTCTCGCCGTCTTCCCTCTCCCCCTCCCCCCGCGTTTCGCAGACTAAATCATCGAGATGGATCGCTACACTTCGACCTATAGACGAGACTACACCTGGCCCGAAGTTTCATGCGTGCGAAAACCTCCACCGCCGCAAATCGCGAAGCGCGAAGACGCGAGAGGCATCGCTTGCGTCTGCATGGATCCACGGAAAGCGCTCGAAGAATTATTACGAATATGCCGAAAGTCTTACGATTGCGACGGTCGTCCGGAACGTCCCTCGAAACTTCACACCGTCAAAGATAAACAAAGGTCGAAACCGGTAAATACCCCGGAATCTCACTTTTCCTTGATCGCATGATTAACGACACACCTCACACATGAGCATGAATAATTATTACACCCGAACCACTCGAACCCAGAAAATCAAAATGGGATCAATGAATAATACAGTGATCGGTGGAGGAAGAAGTGACGCTGAATAATAGCGATTGAATTTTTAAAGCTCGCAGCAAGATGTCCCGATCCGTGCAGAAAATCTCGCGACGAAGGATCAGCGCGAGTGAACGCTGATCGTTTAAAGACCACGTATCAGGTGGATTACAGCGATCCTGGTGAATACAATGAAAATACTTCGAGATATATAACAATTACTACCGCGCGCGGTAGTAACCCGGAAATTAATTTCCTGGTACACTGTTACGTTCTCATCGCTTCGCTTAAGTAAAATTTTATCTCGTCGCAGCTGCCGCGCGGATGACGCGACGTGACAAGCCGTCGGCGGTCGTCGAGGGGGATGGTCAACAACTGCAGTGTTGTCTGCCAATCAACATTATCATACAAGCTGATTTTCCGCCGCATCGTCATCCCAAAATCTCGAAAATCGGCAAAAGTCCGAGAGGCAAGGCGTGCGATTTTTCACAGAAAAGTATATCAAGGTACGAGAAGAAGCACGAGGATGACGATAAATGTCTCTCGCTGTGGAAATCGAAGTATCGAGATAGTATCGACAGAATGGATCACACCATCATCAAAGCCGAACTGCACGACGTCAAGAGGAACGTCGTACCGATGTACATTACAACCAATTGAATTTATTGGAAAAATTTGCTAATGATCAACTAAATATGCGGAAACTTAATTCGTAGCGTAATCAGGCATCTATGAATGAAACAACGTGAAAAATAAAAATATTTGCAAAAAGATTTATACCGAATTATATCATACTGAGTATTAATCATAAAATGTTGCACTTAAAGTTAGATTAGTATATATTCATGTTTCGGGAAAGGAAAGACGATATTGTGTATAAACGCACAATTGATATTCAGCTTTTATTCGCGAGTGATATCGGCTACTTCAGATCATTCCTGCATTCTCATCGCGTTTCGGCCTGTTCCAAACGTCGCGTGTCCAAAAGTATGCATCCGCAAAATTAATCGAGCTGCTAATCTCTCAGCATCGTCTAAACTATTCCGGTTTTGAGGAAATAGTTATCGGCACAAGATACTATCAAAATTTGCCAGTTGTAAGATGATCGATGTCAAGGACGTGACCGAGTCGTTCGTCGTCGGTGTTGTCGTCGTGCTGTTGAACGGGATATTTCATTATGCGCTCTACAGAGCGACCGTCACGTTGATTATGCTGATAAAGGATCAAGTTACTTGGATTTTTCCAAAGTTGAAATTTGGTCTGCCACGAGACACCAATGCCGCTTTACCCAACATGAGCCCATCTCTACCTTATTCCGCTTAGTTGATGTCCTTCGCTTCTGCAAGATATTAAAAATTCTTGACGTGTCGTAATTTGTCGAAAAAATATGTTCTCGTAAAATATCGGGCTAAGTTGTCAAATATCGGGTATTTCGGGAATTTTTGGTAGCATAACACATCAGCGCTGCGGTTCTCGTGAAAAATAGCAAAACCGCCACCATTATCAATGGATAGCAATGTCCCATTATACCTCTCAAGATTCGATATGAAAGATTGCAAGTGTGACTATCATGGCTTCGAATATCGGAGGATGAGGTAAATATAAAGAATTTTTTCGATTAGCAAATGATTTCTAATAATCCTTACCTGAAACTTATATATCTATCAGATTATTTCAATTAAGAGCTAATACAGCTCTAAGTCGTAAATAAAATCATTGAACGAGTTGAGCAAGACAATTATTTTTCAATAATAAAATATTTCATAATTATTAGCAAATTATTATACACATGTAAATAAGTGATAATTAAATACTGATCCCTTATAAAAGATTATTAAAAAATGCCAATTAAGAATCTTGTTGAATTATTATTGTACTACTCCATCTATTCCGATTGTCTCGATTATTGCACCTTATCTTGTGTGTGACAAATATATTTCCACTTTGAAGGTACAAGCAATTGACTGATAAGGAACGTCAATCTCGCAAAATCAATTGTGAAAAGCTAAGTTCCATGTCGCCGACTGTGGACGACATATCTGATACAGATAAAATAATGAAAAGTGTTTACAAGACAGATTATGAAAAAAGAGGTGAATTTGAAAAATCTTTGATATAAAAGAAAGAAAAGAGAGAAGCTCTGAAGAAAAAATTTACGTTCTTTTTTACTTTTTGTGTATTATTGCGACATTGACTTATTTCGTTGAATCTGTCCGTTGTAGATTACAGTTCGTTGATTGCGGAGATGGATTCGTTACTTGGACGACCTATTATATCGCCAGCTGTTAATTGGAAAGATGCTTACAGAGATCCGAACAGATTTAGATATTCGGCTATGGAGACACCAACGATTCAACCCGCCAAGAATATGAGCCTGTTAAAAAGTAAGTACAGATTGTCGATATATATATATAGTTGAGAGAAATATTGTTATTGTCATATTAGTATATAACTAATTATAATTAGTATATCATTTTGTATGTGTGTGTTACATTATGTACAGTACGATAACTCGCAGTTTCAGAAACCGCTTCCTTTTGGGACAAACCGTTTACAGGCACTTCAGAGTACACGGATAAAATCAGCAAACTGGGCTTGAGCAATATGAAAAGTCAGCAACGATACTTGAAACCTCTTCTCCCGATAAAAAGAAAGTTCGGCGACTGCAGCCTATGGAAATCTAAAGCGATGCATTAGCTATGTGATGTAAAAGCTGCCGAGCGTTACAAATAAAGATGGAAATAAGTATACACGAATGATGCAATATATAAAATGCATAACATTTATAACGAAGAAATAAAAAGTGAAAGATAAATAGGTCGTAAAATTTTCTTGGGTAACGGGCGTGTAACACGTACGTTTTCCCATATCGTTGTTAGATAAAGGAAATGCGGGAACACAGTAAGATAAGACTGACGCAACCTCAGTTTCCTTCTCTGCCTTCGAGTAGACAAGTTTTATTTATCACATTGCAATAGTCCGTTGTTAACAAGTTTCACAATGAAACTTTGCCTCGCGAACAATTTTCTTCTCAAGACGTTTTCCACATTCACTTAATTATATTACTGGCTAATTAGGGTTACCTAATTACTTACATGACCATTCTGTTAAGCAATTAATCTGGTTTAGTACTTTGGTTGGTCCTCGTACATAAATTCACGCGGTATATTCTCAATGGCAAAAATATAATTAATTATGCTCAATTGCTTATACTGTAAACATAAACCGAATATATTAGTCAGTTACGTGAGCTAAGTACAGTGAAAAAATCTAGAGTATCTAGAATATTTACAATTATATCTCATGTAACTGCATTCTTTACATATTACCTTGACTTTCGATAAAAATGCTTTAATACAGAGAAACAATAACAATATAAGCTTTGTAATGCGCAATAGTGAAGTCGCAACTTATATAATACAACTGATGTCAGTACATATGTACATTTGACTATCAAATCGAGAAAATTCCAACTTGTGATCACAAAATTTGAATTTTCCATCTGGCCGTAACTATTGTTCAACTAAAGTTGTCACACAAGTGCACAGCGTGCGTACAAATAAAGCAATGCAACTAATAACGCGCCTGCACTCATATCGCATATATATAGATACGTACTATACGCAGTCGTAGAGGAACTATATTTGTTCTAACGATCTTTTCCACATCGTTACACCTGCTAACGTCCTGTTGTTGCATCATCAATTCGAATTGTTTTGTGCAACGGGAAAGAAACTGCCAGTTTTTATAGAACAGTATAGATAAGCACGCGATAGGTGGCTTTTTTAATTTGCTTTTTCGTACACTTTTTAATGGTTCGGTGCATATTCATACCACGGAATGCGTCACTGCCATATCTGCTCTATGTAAGGCGTGTGCGGTGATTCATTTAACAATCTTATTTTGCTGACTCGAACGAATGAAAGAAAAGAGATGGTAAATGTATTTTTTGTAACTTTGCATGAATTTAACATACAAATTTAAGTGAAGTCAATTTAAGTGAAATCACGACCTTTTTAATAAAACTTCTTTTATACTGAGAATATATGGGAGATGTTGCATAATTGCTTGAAGACGTAAATCGAATACGTCTTCAAGAACCTTTTTCGGTGCATACCTACACACCGGTGTTTCGCACTATTAGGGCACAATTTCACGATGTAGGCAGATATTAAAGACGCGGTTTCATAACTTTAAAACTAGTTTTCTTATTAGCTAAGGCTTCGGTACGCGCGCACACGTTCTCCGAGCTGCGCCTAATGATGTCTATATATTCGCTCGACGTTTGAATATCACACTGCGACTTCGCTTCGTCGTATGAATAACTATCCGGTTTTGGTGCGCTTAAAATGGGCCTCGTGTCTGGCTGGAAATGTTAAATGAACGTTTTACACACTGTAACGTTATTAAAAATACATACGGGACATCAATATTTACTATCAATATTTACCACTGGTTCGTTCACCATGATACTCTGCGGCCATTTCTCAACATGTTGGGAGTAACTTGATTTGTCCGATCTGCAAAATGTGTACGTAAAATATAAGAGACTGTTAATTTATACCCGAATAATTCATATCGTCATCATTTATACCTGCTCACCTGGATTCGGAGTCGTACTCCTCTCGTAGTGCAGTATCCTTCGTGCAATGCTCCGGAAAGCTGCTAACGCAGTTTGTTCTTCGCTTTTGTTCCGATTCTTCGTAAGTACACACGTCGTCCAAAGACAAGCACGACTTGGCAAAACGTTCTTTACTGTAAATGGCAATTTCCCTAAGCGGGCTTTGTTCGTGAACACTGTTATTTTGTTCACTGATGGTCGTGCTGCTCGTGTCGTAATTCTGCAGAGTCTCACTCTTCGAGTGATGCTCCTCGCTCTGTTCGCCCTCCTTCAGCGCGCTGTCTATCGCGTCCTTGATATTTCTCAGACCATCGTCCATCGAGAAAATATTATCGTCGTGACTCTCTCTCCTCGCGTGGTTATCGTTCGAACTCTCGTGCACGTCGTTTTGGCTACTACTGAGAGCCATTTCGCAGCTGCTTATAGAATTGGAACTCCTGTCCCTAGCGCTCACGGAACTTTCCAAGCTGTCCGCGACGTTCCTCGATTTGGAAACCGACGTAGGTATCATGATCTCTATGTTACTCTCAATAACGACCTTATCGCTACTGTCAGCGAAATTATTATCCTTAAGGGTTATGTTATCGATATTATTCAGAATGGCACTATTTAACGTTTCGTTACTGCTATTGCTTGACCTGTCCTTAGCCAGTACCAAGGTTTTATTGTCAATGGCACTCTCTTCCGACTTACAAATACGTTTCGATTGACTGCCCAGCGCGGGCGACTGCACAGGCTTGTCTAAACCCTGATCCAAAGAGGATCCGAGCGTGGACTTGATGCTTTTCAACTGACTCATCGATCGTGAGGAGCGGTGACATTTCTCGAAAATAATCTTCTGCAATGGCGGCGTGAGAGACGGATTCTGCTTGCCGTTGCCGACTTCGGTGTCCAACGATGAGTTTGAGAACGTGCGTTTCGAATTGTCCAAACTACGAGAGAAATAATATCGTTAGGTATTTTAACAAAAGTGAGCGTATCAGACGACATAGTCGATGTTACATACTGCGTTTGATTGGGTTTGATGTTAATCAGAGTAGCGAGATTTGGCAGCGTCGCTCTTAAATCGGTAGTAGGCAGGCCGCAATACCACCGAAGTTGTGCTATGTTTTTGTTTAACAAATACACGGCATAATGAAACTGTAACTTATCCTTGCTTCGAGCAAACAGTGGGAACCTAAGAACAATGTGTTGCGTTAATGATGGTTGCGTCAACGAATGCAAGTGAAAACAGCTGACAGATATCCTTACTGTTTGTCATTATCGGGTAAACTTTCCGTAATATGATCTATAATTTTACTGCGAGAGCCGTAATGTATGATAGGATATCTAGTCGGTACATTCAAAAAGTTTGCGATCATCTGCGTTGTGTGAGCGACGAAGCCCAGCGCGACGGCAACTTGTGTGTCATTAGATAATTCCAATTCCTCGCTGTCCGGCAAATGAACATCATTTATCCTAAATTTCCCAGTATCTTCCTATGAAATTAAAGAAAATGTTAGTGATTCACAACCACTCATATTTGTATATAAAATGATTCACCCAAGTTATTCAATGATTTTAGCTTATTTTTCTAGAAATCTTTTTTAGATAAAAGTCAGTCAAGAGAGGATACATATTTTTCTTGTATAATTTGTGAAATATTCAGTCAACACGCATAAAATAAAATCAAGACAAGTGTATGCAATTTTTTTGTGTATATAAAATATATTTTGACCTTGTTTTGTCTCTATTTCAAGGTAAAACCAATATTTTCAATGATAGAATCATGCTATCATAACGTAGCGTGATATAAAATCAATCATGCGGAACGCACCTGTCGGATTGGATATATTAAACTTAATTCTGATATTAACTGGCGCCTCCTATGTGCAAGTTGACTACTTATTTGTAAATAAGTCTCCCTCGTATCCATATGATTCTGTCGCCACTCGTTCAGTCTTTCCACATCTTTATTCAATTCCCTATATCTTTCCACCAAATCAGAAGCTGAAAAAAGAAAATATATTTCTTTCGTCATTTATCTTTGATAATTTCCATATTGTATAGAGACGTTTCAGATATACTAACCATGATCTTGATTCTCTTCTACGATGTTAGAATGCAACTGATTCAGCACACGAATCTCTCCCATTTTACGTGCTCTCTCTTGTTCTAACAATTTTGTTCTAAATTTGGCCATTTCTAACTCTTTACGTATTCTCATAATTTCAGCCTTCTTCTCCCTATTTACTTTTCGTGGTTGTAACAGTCTGTTTAAAGTTGTCTGTGGATATTTAGGAGTATAAAAATCATCACCCGATGCAATGCGTACTCTAAGTGCTTGTACTGATTCCGTTTGTTGTTTTAGTGCCTGCATTTTGCTTCTTAAACTGGTAAGTTTATTCACTGTATAACTACTCTTTACTTCAGATCCATTCATGTTCATGTTGAGATACCGCTTTAAGTCTGGAGCTGTTATAAAGCAATACACAGGAGCAAAATATCCACCATGAAAGTGGAATATTAAGGAATTTTCTTTCAAGATGGTTTCGAGATTTGCTGGTAGCTTAGGACCAATATAGGATAATCCAGTAAATGATATTCCCCATGAGAAGAAGGTTACATCAGTTTTAGCATCGCCTGTCATAGAACGCTTCCAAATTCTTAGAATAATTTCTGTTGAAGAAGATGCAATTACTTTCATTTCTTTTCATAGGAATTAAACAACAAATCAAAATAAATTATATCATGAATATGATATTAAATTCCAACTGCTGTATATTTTTGCCATACTAACAGAGTGTAAAGCTTACCACTAGCTGCTGAGTAACCTGTGGCATGTAAAGTAGGTACTTCCAGACTTGACCATCTTGGATTAGCATTGTCAATTGCTTCACTTGTATATAACGGGGATGACATACTTGTCCAATGTAGAGTATAATAGAACCAACATATTTCTCCATTTACATTCCCTGTTAGATTATGGCCTATTATTTGTATCAGATTTCTGAGTCTCAGCTGAAAAGAATATCACAAGAAATGTGACAACAGCCTCTTGTCGCACCCAGAATGTTATTGTATTGTTCAAGATTCAATTTGCGACTCACTTGCTGTGTAGCGAGGGAAAGCCAAGTCTTATACCGCGGGACAATTCGCGGTTGAAGGGTCAAATCTAAATCCTTAACGACGTTACGCGATTCGGGAAACTCCATTGTGAAACTTCATAGTACCACGATAACGTCATTCAATCGCAGAAATAGCCGCGATAAGGATCCAAGGGAACACAGAGTACTTTAATTAGCAGCACGGATAATCGCAATCATACGCGCAGGTTAATTAACTTATTACAAGATGTGGTGTAAACAAATAATTTTGCATCTATCGATTGTTCGGCAAACGCCGAATCGCAGAAGACCGCCTGTCGTTGATTTTACACGTCGATTTAAGTCATTAAATGACGCGTAAAATTTCCCGAAGTAGTCGAAGCAGAATGACATTCGAGAAATTCTGACAGTTCACATTTGACACTTATCGATATACTTCGGTAATATCGTCGGAGCCTGCCTGCCTCTCGCGCAGGGTAACCACCTGTGAATAAAAAATACAAGCTAGTTAGTCCCTAAAGTTGATCATCGATAATTGCCCGTTTACAAATCCGTCTCCGCGTTCGAAATGTCAAATAAAATTCGTCAACGTCGACTTTCCCGTCGTTATCTCGCTGTGCTGTTTGTAACTTATAGCGATAAGCGTCGTCAATAGTTTACGAAATTAGGTGGTTGCACATTTATGCTCCGAAAAGAGGGAGAGAGAGAGATAGAGAGGGAGAGAGAGAGGGAGAAGGGGGAACAAGTGCAGAGAGTGCAGCTGACGACTCTTGCTCGATCCCGACGCAGATTAGCTCCGACCTTTGTTTACCTAATCCTTTGTCTCAGCCTGGATTGTGGAAGTTGCAGGGATACAAACGGCGGCACGGGACGGCCCAGTCGATTCGCGCAAACTGTGTCGTTGCCGGTGCACCGGAGTACGAGCGGATTCCACACGGGGGAACGGCAAACACGTTCGCACTCGCGGATGCGGGTCTGTGCGAATGTTCCGCGGGGCAACACGCGGCCCGCCTACGCCGTCTTCGGTGTACAGCACTGCGGTCAGTACAAAATGGTCGACGTGCCTTGACCGTGTCGCACGGGTAGGCGATGCGAGACTGCGTTACCCCGTGCGAGCGAGCTGCACCGGAGTCGACGGCGACGCGTATGCGACGTTAAATGGCTATCGCGGGATAACCAAGCTTTGGGTACGTATCCGCTACGGCCGCCGCCGCGGGATCGTCGAAAGATCGCGCGATCGCGACCGATCCACCTGTCAATACGGACTCTCGCTTTCTCTCTTTCTCCCTCTCTTTCTCTCTTTCGCTCTTCTCTCTCTCTCTCTCTCTCTCTCTGTCTCTCTCTCTCTGTCTCTCCGTGCGGCACACAAAGTGCGCGCCTCGACGAACGCGCGCGTAAACGCCGCCCGATCTCGGCGTCTTCCTGTCCGGATGTTCGCTTTGCAGTCGGCTCCTTGCAATTCGCGATCGCGACGTTGACGAGCGGAGTCCCACACAAGCGGAGAAAACGACTCGGTGCGTCTCGCGTCGCGGCGAGAAGCGTTCCCACGACGCGCGGCGCCCCGCGGCCGAAAAAGAGGAGCCGTCTCGCAGCCTCGCTCGACTCAGATCGGCTTAGGTGATTTTCCGATTGTTGCAGTCTGCGGTCTTCGAGAAGAGAGCGAACGTGAGTGCGCCGTGAGTATCCGAGCTGGGACGTGAAGACGATGGAGAAGCGGCAGGAGGTGCTCGCCCCGTTTTCCTCCGGTGAGTCTCCGCGTTGCCCGTAGACTCGCCTCTGCTTTCTCTGTCTCTGAGTGCGTGGGGGTGCAGGTGTTTGTTATGTAGGCGAGTACATTATATTTATTGCAAATCAAACTGTCCTCCTTATTCGCTAAGTATCTTCATTCTGTGTACATGTAGGAATGCATGCGGAAAATACCCAAGAAAACCTTAATTTGTCAGCCTTATGGAGTAACTTATAAAGTCAACCTTAATATGTTGGGCTACGTTAAAAAAGAAAGAAATACAGAAGAAAACACGGATATCTGAAAGTTTTGTGCAAAATGGGTCAGGGCGTCTCCAAGGATTATATAAAAGATATCTATTCGTATGTCAGAAGTTTCCATCCTGGCTCCTATCTTAAACATTGATAAGAATAATCTGCATTATGTCATAGTCTTAAAATATACGTATATGTAATATCCTTTGCTAGGAGTGCTTTTTATTGGACAAAAGATATTTTATGTTGGGTGTGACAAAGTGAAGGTCGCTTTGTTTTAAAAGACAAGTCAATGGGATGTGTCAAAAATAAACTAAGGAATAAGTAAAATGTCAAAAAGAACAAAATGAATGATGAGTGAAATATTAGAAAAAAAATTACACGAATGGTGAATAAAAGAGATCTTTTCAGAGAAATGAAATGAGCGATATAAGTAAAATGCAAGGGAAGAAATAAATATAACAATGTGCGGTAGAATGAGATGAGCTCGATATATCCACTTATAATTGCAAGCTTGTTGCATATATACGTGTCATTGCTATTTATATCTGAACAGAAGCAAGAGAATGTTCTTCAGGTGTGATCAATACCAAATGGAGCTGAGAGGTATTTGCTATTATCCTAAAGTACGACACATGCATTGAGTGTCGAGACAATATGAATACTCTTTTTGAGCGCAATTAACGACCCAGTGGAAGCATTCATTTCTGAAAAATTCTCAGAAATTAGGTTCTCTCATTGAACACCTACTGTGTTCTGGATCGTATTTAAAAAAAAATATTTGTATCACTTTGAAACCTGGTGTATCTTAAACTAACTCATGATGCCTCTCAGTTATCGATTTTACATCGTTTGTTTGTCACCCATTATTTCCCAATTAAGAATCGACCTCACAAGAGGCAGAAGATAATTAAATTGTAATTACACTCGATTGATACCGGTGCGCTCTTTGACCTAAAATCCATTTCGTTCTACATATATTTTAGGAACTAACGGAAGTCAAGCTTGCGAAAAATTCGTTTTTTTTTTTCTTTTTTCTTTTTTTCCATTATACTTGTATTTCATCCTTGCACGTAAGCGAGGTCAGCACCTCCAGCGAAACGTCCGACCTGTGTTGAATTTTCGCCGGCATTTAGCACGCCCGTTAAAGCGACAGTATCAACGCTAAATGGCGCGGTAAAACGTTCAAAGCGACATTCTATTACGGAAATTTCATCGTGGGAGGAGTATCGCAGTGCCTAATAACGGTAACAATGTTTAACTCTGCCCACTAGGCGTACTAACCACACGGAAAATAATACAGTTAGTTCCCTTCCTCTTTTTTGTTTTGTAGCGTGCTCGATTATCCGCAGTGTTTTAACGAAAAGGGGGAGAAAGCGAGTGAGAGAGAGAGAGAGAGAGAGAGAGATGCGAAAATCGATGTGGCATTTAAAAGAAGCATTGGAACTTTCTCCGGGACGAGGAAAAGCAACGCGCACGCCGTTATTCCTTAGTAAACGCAAAATTCTGTTCCGTCATCCGCCAGATTATTACCGTAAACGCAGTGAGGCTTCCCACCGCACGACAGGTCGATAAGTATTGCTCATGTGCGAGCATCCGTGAGATTTTGTGCGGGAGCAGGCCATCGCGACGAAAGGACGATCGTCCTTTTCAGGGTCGCTGGCGGCGGCGGCGGTGGCGGCGGCGTACCGCCACGAAAATCATTACCACCGGAATATTTAATAACGCCGATAATATCGACTCTCGACGTGTGTCGTCGCCGCGGCCTACATTCAAATGCCAGCTGGAGCAAATACACGTCGCGTCTCTCTCGCGGATTACCCCCGGCAACCGATGACGCTCGAAGGGTTGTTGTTTGCATTATCAGTCGTGCGACGGTCGCGAAACCTTTCCGCGACAAGGAGGCGGACAGAAAACTCTCAGACAAAGAGGCGGCGGGCGTGTATCGCGTGAGACGTATTATTGGAACAACGCCGTGAACAAGATGACACGCTTATTGACGAATCGAAGTATCCGCGCGGGCAAGAAAGTTTGAGATCGAGGGAAATTTATGAATTAGACTTATGAAACTTATTATTAACCCTTTGCTGCATAGCAATATAAGATAAGTGGTCCTCCCAGAGTGCCACTTATCATCCAAATTTGTTTTTCCAATAATTTAAATTTTTCACATATGTTTTTAGCATACTCGGTATTGTTGGACTATTAAAACGTTCCTCTAACTAATACATCAATTTTTAGAGTCATTTCAAATAAATAATTTGTTATTAATAAGCACATTACTGAACAAAAATGTCGTTTTTAAAGAATAAATTTGTTTACACGAAATTTCATGCAATAATGTATACTTCAAAATAATTATCTGAAGGTTCTTGGGGTCGCTGAATACAAATCCGGTGTGAAAAATACAAAATTCAAAATGGCGAACGGAATTTTCAAAATCAATCGAATTCGCTTGAAACTTGTTACTCAGGGGTTTTTGAAGTCGCTGAATACGAATCCGGTGTAAAAAATACAAAATTCAAAATGACGAATCTTGTATGGCGAACACAATTATAGAAGTGAAACAAGCTGACTGCGCTTGAGAACCGGGCAACTTGATCGATGTCAACCGAACCTTGCCGTATATATCCGTCATAGCTCTGACGTTTTGAATTTTCGATGATGAATTTGTAATTAGCAACCTCGAAAACCCTTAAATAATAAATTTCAAGCGAATTCGGCTAATTTTGAAAACTTCGTCCGCCACATTGGATCCGCCATTTTGAATTTCGTATTTTTCACACCGGATTTATATTCAGCGACCTTAAAAACTACCGAGTAACAAGTTTCGCAAAATTATATTCATTAGAAAAAAACGTACAACAAAGGGTTAAATTCTGTTCATCTGAGACGCGTTCGGCTCGTTCAGTCTCTATTTTGCGTGTGCTTACACGAAGCAAACAAATTGGTTCAACCGATGCAACAATAGGCAAACCAAAAGAGAGCGCATTTTGGTTAAAAGGAACAAAATTTCTGATTCTTATGAGCCACTCTCGCCTCTAAGGACCAGAAATTCCGATTCTCTTCATCCAAAACGCATTCGGTACGCTCGTTATCACGTTGATTCAATCAATCACCTTTTTTTCCATGTTTATTGTGTCTAGACACGCATTCGCACGTTTGTGTACTTTGCACTTCGCGCCGCAAATGTGGCTGTCAGATTCCGACTTTTATTCGCCTCGCATAAAGATTTTATGCAACTCTATCGTCCCGCCTGAGAATCAGTCGCTCGCACGTAGCGTGGAATGCTTAATAAAAGACAGACGTCGCTTTCGAGTAGACTGTAGTAGACTGCTTCGAGTAGACCGAAGTAGAGACGAGTGGACTTTGGTGAGATTCGACGTCTGATCTCTTCTTCCTATTTACCACCAACGAGCCGATTTCTGTTCGACCCGTTTTTACGCGAGGACACGCGAAAAGTCAATTAAATTCAAATCAACGTTCAAATCGACCGCGTGATCGACATGACTTATGAGAGTATTCGGCGTTACAAGAGCGCAGGAATCGCCAAAGAGATCCTGAGTGATGATCCGAGTGCGCGGAAAACCAGCGGAGAAAACCGTCCGAGAGATCGGTTTCGGGGCGACCCGCGGCTTTCCGGGTGAAAAGATACAAATCTGGCAAACATCGGCGATACCGGCGGCTACGCTGGTGGTGCCGGAGGAGGAGGTGGAGATGGAGGTGGAGGAGGCAGCGAGTTGAAGGTTGGCGGCGAGTTACAGGGTCGGGGGTGCCGGGGAGGCTGGGAGGGGTGGCGCGCGCGAACCAACGGATCAATTCGCGCTCGGGAGCTACAGAGGGAAAAGCAACAGTCTGTCAGCCTCTTTCTATCCGGAAAAGTGCTCCACCACGGTACGCTATCTCGCGCTGCCGCTCTTGTTCGCCGAGAATCACGAGACAGAGATACTCATCGCGACGACGACGACGACGACGACGACGACGCAACGTCGTTGCGTTGGTGAAACCCGCGACGCGCGACGTGATCGTCGTCGAGTCGCGCTCTCGGGAAAATCGCAAGATTCTACCCGAGAAAGGATCTCCTGGGAAAAGAAGTCGGGTGGCACGCGGCGCGGTAATTCGCCTCGGCAGACCAGCCGTGAGAAATCCAGCCGTGAACGCGGCGTGTATCGGTCGCACAGACATTGTCGACGTCGCTAACGCGCCGGAATTATAGCGTAGATCCTCGGAGGGATTAAGAGCCGCCGCAGCGCGAGTCCCGGAGAGCGTGGACTTAATGGCAGCGCCGGCGACGGCGGCGGCGGCGGCTTCGCGAGCGAGCGAGTTGCGTGGAGAGATGCGATTCTCCGGTCGTTTCTCACGAGCGAGATCATGCGGGACTGCTCAAGCTCGCGGTGCGCGTACAGTTCGACCTGCGGAGCGGACAGTCGGACAGACGAAGAGACCCCGTCGTCGTCATCGTCGTCGTCCTCGTCCTCGTCCGTGCCGCCGTCCACCCGAGGATCTCGCTGCGATCGTTGTCGTTATCGTACTGTGCAAAATCTTGAAAGGATCCGGACTCGCGTCGAGTCCTGCGAGCGTTCAGACTGCCGCACGGTGGTGTCGACGGCTGAAGGGTAGGCCGCAGGGGGTGGCCGCGAAGGAGGCCGCGGGCGACGTTAGCGTTACCCGGCGCGCACTTGAGGCGACTTGAGCGGAAAAGCAACGGCACACACGCGCGCACATGCCGGCGATGACGGAATATATAATTTGACCTGATTTCCATTGAACATGCCTTCACACCACGGCATCCTCGCGGAGCCTGAGATGAGGCCGCGCGGCGGCGCGCGATTGTTGGGAGTCGTCGTTTGTTCGCAGTCCGCGAGTCAATAGGCGCGAGAGACGTTTCGGTATCGGTTTTCTGGCTATCTCTCTCTCTCTCTCTTTCTCTCTCTCTCTCTCTCTCTCTCTCTCTCTCTCTCTCTCTCTCTCTCTCTCTCTCTCTCTGGAACTCTTCCTCGCGGCCGCTCCGCTCTCTCGCCTGGCGTTATCCGCTATCTCGCGGTGTGCGAGCGCCGTCGAGCGAGCGACCGGCTAGGCCTGCACCTTTCCGCGCGACACGCCAGTAAACTACTTCGCACGCTGCTCTTTATTGCCCCTCCTCCTCCGACGAGAACGCTATCGAGCGACGAAAACATATACACCCGCGCACGTCGTTTCCCGTTGCGCGCTAATGCGTCCTGAAGTAGGAAAAAAGACGGGGAAAAGAGAGCGTTTATTAGCAGCCCTCGCGGAGGACGAAAGTTCGGCATAATATACGTAAGATATCGTGAGCTTTTGCGAGCAAAGAGTCAGATTCGACATTTACATGAGATAATAGATCATTAACGAGACCGGAGGAGGGATAATTAGAGTAAGAGAGGGAGGGGAAGAAAGGAGTTCGGTAGAGTTTTTTCCGGCTCCGAGACGTTAAGTCAGCGCGGTAACGCGTTGCGAATAACGAGAGCATGTGCTATGATGATGATGGCGAGGCTGACGGCGCCGCTTGCCGAGGACGATTCTAACCGGGCGCGACATCGCGCGGTGTGCTTGCAGATGAGTGTCCGAACAGCGGCGAAGACAGCGAGGAGGATGTAATAACCGATTATCTCGGCTCATCGCACTCCGACTGCGATCGCATGCCTATCATTAATGGGGATCTGCGCGACCTGAGTCTGCACGGCGGCATCGTCACGGAGACCGGTTACACCAAAGACAATACCGCGAAAACGCCGATCAGCATGTCGGCGGTCGGCATGACTAGCGATGAGCAACACCAGCAGCAGCAGCAGCAACAGCAACAGCATCACCAGCAGCAGCAGCAGCAGCAACATCATCAGCAGCAGCAGCAGCAGCAGCAGCAGCATCACCACCATCACCACCACCACCACCACCCGTTGCTTACACTCGGCACTAATATTCAAGCCCAGCCTAATCCTCTGGTGCCCATCATTAGCGTTACGCCGCACTCGCCCGGGCTGGCCAAGAACTATCCGGTGCTAGGTAAAAATCCGGTCCTCGGAATTTGTGAGATAGAGATCTCAGGCGCAGTCGAGCCCTAGAGTCCTTGGCGCACTCGGCCACCCGGACCGAGCCGGAACAGGAACCGATAACCGTAACCGGTTTGTTTTTTCAGATCAGTCTTAGACCTGTCGAGTCGAAAGCCTCTCCGTGAATCCTACCAAAATTTTACCAAGTCTGTCGAACCGGGATCAAGACTGCATCGTCGTAATGTTATCGGTTCCTTCCGGTTTTTATTGAATATTTATAGTCATGTTATTTCCTCCGATAAGTTGCTCTTTTCGTCTGCCAAACTTCAACTTTGTCGCGAAGTTACTTTGACAGTTGCTTGCTTCAGTTTTTATATTGGTTGTACTATCCGGACTATACGCGAATTTGGAGACACACAGAGGGCAGGTTGTTCCAACTCCTTGGTAAGTTAACTGATAGTTAAATCATATGTCTGTCTTTGTCTAAATTGAAGGAAAAGCAAAGATAAACATATGATTTAACTATCGGTTAACCAGCCGAAAAGTTGGAACAACCAGCCCACACGTGCGTGCAGATGAATGTGAAACTATTCGCTCTGCTTTCCCACAGAGGAGAATCTGCAGCAGCTGCACGAGATCCACGACTGCATCCAACGTATGCGCGACCTGACGTTGAGCACCCTGGGCTACCACAATCGCGCGTCCAACAACGACGCCGCGCAGCGATTAACCTCCTCGTGCCCGACCTTGTGCCCGCTGACCTCGGCCGAGCTCGCGCCTCGTCCGGGCAATCCTCACGACACTGGCTCCGACCCGGACCTCCTCGCTAATTGCTCCACCAACAGCTCCCCGACACACTTCCCGGGCTCAGTCGGCCATTCTCGTTCTCAACGGGCGCAGGCAGGTATAGACAGGAGACGCAGTTGGACCGGGGACCTGGAGGACCTGGAAGAAAGCCGACGCGGCGGTCGGCACCGGTATTCCGGGCAGAATCACCTGCAGGCCCAGAACATGGTTAATATTGACCGTTACTTGTTGGGACCGGAAGTTGGAGCCGGTTCGATTTCGGTGAGTTCAAGCTTCGATGCCGCGGATCTTGATGCTACGGAAGGACACGCCGTCGTTACGAGGAATAAGCGAATAGCTGACAGAAATGAATTGCATCTCGTGGGCGCCCGAGTCAGCATCGAGATCTGAACTCGTCGAAATCGCGTCAGTTTCAACGGCCGTTGTCACAGAAAAGAAACACTCTCAATATATATACATATCCGCTTGACGACGATGGCATGACTCTCTCAGAGATAGCTTCATTGTTGTTGTCTTTATATATGCATTTGCGCTTCGTCAAGGCCGTCGCTAACGCCGCTCTCACGCACAATCACAACGTACCCGTTTACTCCGTTTCAGCGACAACGCAGCATTAGTTTAAGTAGCCTAGACAGCGAGAACGAGCTAGAATTAGATGGAAAATCGTGCACCGGACCTGTAGCTGTAAGCAATCGGGCGTGCAGGTCGCAGACAAGCACTCACTCTCTGAACGAAGCTGATCTTGTACAGGTAATTTTTCATAAGATACACTTCCTCCTCCTCCTTCTCCTTCTCCTCCTTAGAGGATGCTGTCTACGTTTACGATATGATCGTCGGGGACGGTCGACTACATAGCAAATTTTTCTTTGACAGAGCGAATATCAGAAGATAGTCACAAAGAGGGGTAGTCAGAGATTAGCAGAAAGTAGCAGTTTAATGCCAGGGCTGACTGGTTCGCGTTTACCTCTTCAGAAATCCATATCGACGCCCTCGATCGTTACGCCGCAGGTTCACGCGCATTTAGGCGAAGCCGGAACTCGAACGACGCCTTCACTCGCAGCGTAAGTCCACTTACTACACAAGTCACGGCTCGCAAAAGATCGCAAAGCCAGAAAGAATCAAAGGGCAAAAGTCAGGGGATGATTTCTCGCGAAAGTCGCTGTTTTTTTGCATTTGTCGACTTCGAGAGAACTTCGGCACTTCAGAATCGAAGGGCGGGAAACGGGATAATCGTAATCTAGCTTGCGATCTTATTATAAGTTTTAGCACCAAAATGCTATGCACACACCTTGTGCGTGCACATCCATGTGCGTGCGCCCGAGCACTCATGTATGTGCATTCTTCACGCGTATATATTTACATCTTGTCGGTTTTTCAACTTTTGGCACACTAGTAGAAACTCATCTCTCGGAAATGAGCGCAAACGTATCCATGCATGAACATCTTTACAATTAGTAGAATGAATCTCTCTGTCTCTCAGAGACGTATCTACGTTCATCAATGCCTGAAACATTTTGCATTATGTAGAACTTTTGTTAGAACCGACTGCTCGCGTGTTGTTGTAATACAAGCTACGCTAAAGGAGCGCGTAAAAAATTGACGGTATCACATCGTGACTCACGACAGCGACGCTCAGTATGTCCGATGCGTATTTCGCTCCAGGCATAATTTTGCTCACGTTATTAGTCCTTAACGGCGGATCATCATTAATTAACCACTAAACTTTCTCTTTTTACACGAGACGAAAATAGCCGTAACACATTAATAATCATAATAGCGCGTGTTATCATTATCCACTGGATAATAGTCGTCCGTTTTTTACACTTTATCGATCATTCTCGTCGATTGTGTAATTATTTTGTTGAGCGCGAGCAGTTTATCACATCAGATACACACACATATATATATATATATATATTTATCTCAGTTATTATCTCAGTGTTCTTTTGTAATATATAGTAATATAGTAATCAGATCATTTTTGCGAATATCTATAATGCAATATTCATTATACACGATAGTTGCTTAGTTTGTGTTTGTACTTGAAACTTTGCTATCGATCCTGCATGAAACAGCCGTCATGAAAGAAACGAAAAGGGTAGTGGGAGTGAGACAGAAACCGAAGATCTCCATACACCACACAGCCACGAATTCCACGAAGACCGAGAGGGCACTCCTAGTGCCCAGATATCCCTTGACGAGCTTTTGACCGAGTGAGTACTCGATTCGCCTTTTAAGTCTCATACTATACCGAATTGTACACGATACTGCGGAATATCTTTTTATCATCTCTGTGATGGACACGGTTTGTACCAGTTTTGCCGGTCGGTCGGTCGATCGATCGACCGATTGATTGATTTTGTAGCCACAAATAGCCCGTAGTTTATGCTACAACTGCAAAAGCAGACACAGAGTCGGATTTAAAACACGCTGCCGCTTTGAGATAACACGTATCTTCGTTCTAAATGTCTAATTAAGAGGCGCATAATATGCGGGCGATTCGACGACTATTTGAAACTCGTTGAGCAGGCAGTATCCATCGGGTATTATAAACGCCAGTGTAGAAAAGAAGAAGAAAAAGAGATGTGTCAATTATTGTCACATTGTCTACGCATGCTATAGACATCATTCTTTTTTTTTTTTTTTTAATACGTAGTATTTGACTGCACATATTTACGATTATTACACACGTTTTTATCTCTCATGATAAGCTGTTGATAGATCGGAACGCTTCTATAGTTGCACCGCTGATCATCTACAAAATACAGCTCCGAATAAAGTCTTCTCCACTATTGAAAATCAAACAACAATGTCGACATATGTTTTCAATTTGCAGTGGCACCGTGTACGATGATCATCACTCCGAGAAGACCAGAAGAAAGCGTGGTTCGATCTTCTTCCGCAAGAAGAAGGTAAATCAGTTATTTGAAATCGCGATTGCTTACTTGAAAGAGATTATTTTAAAAAATATCTTTTTCTACGTGGAATATACTTTCTCTTTGATTTGTACTTTGATTCTGTAAAAGCATTTGCAATTCTATGCAGATATTGCAATTCTAATTAATTAGGAAAACAATGCAAAACTACAAAAGCTGCTTCGTGTCGGTACCCAGTGTCCCCTTTTCTCTTCTAATGCTTCACGTCGGAATCTTATTTCAGGATAAAAGTGGCAAAAAGACTAGTCAGCAGCAACATCTGTGGGTAACAATGACTGTGGGGACTCAGGGCAGCTTACTATGTGATGTTTGTATGAAACATTCGACGAATAAACCGCTCCTCCACTGCGACAGTAAGAGAAAATCATCAACTGTAATATAAGATCAAATCGATCCTTCTTCAACACGTTGTCACCGACGTCGCGATTGATCGATTTTCCAAAACCAGATTGCGGAGCGTCGGTTCATCAGAGTCAAGGGTGCAAGGATCAGTTGGTGCTGGAGTGCATCAAGTCCAAGCATCACTCCGGCAAGTCCGCTGCAAAGTCCTCGTCGAACGCCTCCACGATGTCGAACAGCAACAACGTGAAACGCGGCTCTACGACGTCGCTGCCCTTGCCGACGTCGTCCGGAAGCGGAAGGTAATAAAAACTCATCTTTGAGCGAACTATATATCTTTTGCATTGGATCTGCGTATCTGTGGTTCGAGATTCGCACGCAAATGGCATGGCTAGGCCTAAGCTCGGAGTTTGCGATCAACTCCTCATACCTGTATCGAACGAGTAATGAGTAATTCAGATCACGTGCGGTACGATCTCGACTCACTCGTTCTTCCACTTTGTACGCGCGATACGATACGGTGATTTTGACGGGGAGGAAAAACGTCTCTCGTTTTCCATCTGACCGACATTCCGGAGGACATTCGACATTGTCGCAGTGACACGCACATGATAGACGATAACGATACGCTAAAACGCGTACGAGGTGTGGGAGGTTCTAAAGAAAGGGTTGCACATCTTGTTACTCCGAGGCTTTGGCTGGCTCAGAAGCTTATTATTTCTGGTTAATTTGGCAGTTTAGCAAGATCAATAGTACGGCAAGCTTTAGCGCGTTCAGCCTCGCGCCGCTACATTTTTTATTGATATAACATCGTTTACATATATATTTTTATACGTTATTACTTGTACAGAATATATACCATGACCAGACCACAGCTAGCTCTCGGTTTGCTATTACACAAGCCACAGAGAGAGAGATAATGCCGAATAGCGGCCGATATCGCCGGTAATTTCACGACGACCGATCGGTCGCCATCGAGCGCATTTACATAACTCCGAGATTTACTTTGTGGTTCTTTTTTCTCGATCTTGATTGCGTTACCACGTCGATTAAAAGAGAAGTAAAACGGGACCATACGTGTGTGTGTGTGTGTGTGTGTGTGTGTGTGTGTGTGTGTGTGTGTGTGTGTGTGTGTGTGTGTGCACATACATATATATATGCAATTTATATGTATATAAAAATTGACGAAATTAGAAAAAAAAGGTTCTTGCGTGTGGGGAACGATTCGTTAAGATGTGTATGTCGGCGCGTAAGGTCATAAAGAGCAAGGTACAAAAGAAAAGAACAGGCAAAAAGTAATGGGAAGGGGGAAATAGGGATGGAGGAGAAACAGCCTAAAAGAAAAGAAAGGCGATGATGAAGTTGCCCTAATGCAGTGTGTGCTTTTTCCTTCTCCCGTGCATTCCCCCTCGTGCAACCACGTGAAACTGATCGATTGTACGACGATTAAAGGGAAATTAACAGCAAGAAAACCGTGTCAAGCTACAGCCCTTGGCGGCGAGTTGCCACTAAGCTTGGAGTCAAGTAAGTCTCTGATATCTGATGTGTTCCTCCTATTCTGTCGAAAACGTTCCGTTCGTTTCTGTTCGTTCGTGTTAAGTCCTACATGTCTAGTAGGAAGACGCGCGTCTCTCGTTCCTCGATTCTTTCCTCGCACACTCATTACATCCATATATACACACACATGCACAAGAACACATGCAGCATACGCACACATACACACACACACACACACACATGCACACATGCACATTATTGTCCACGACCATCAAGCGTACGGCAGTCGACCTGTCGTCCCGTTTTAGACCCAGATGAGACATCATCTTGCCCTGCCTGTGCTTCTGATCTTGTGCTTGCTTCTATAATTTGTGTCCGACTCAATGATATAATTTGTGTTACCTCTTCGTTGTAATCTTCGCCTAAATTACAGTGCGTAAGTCACGAGTGTTAGTCTGTAAGGTAAATCTGTCACAAGCGACGAGTATATGCGAATCGAACGTGTATATACACACTTATATATATATATATACATATATATTATATATATAATATTAATTTATTATATACGTAATATTAATGCATTATACATATATACCAATATATAGATATATATATACATGTATATATAGGTTAACCAGTTCATAAATGTGCTCACCTAAAACGTGTCGGAAGAAGCGCATTGTTCGAGGAAGTGTTTCGAACAAGAGTTGTTTGCTTTCAGAGTGACGATGAAAAGCTTGGTCTTCGGCCTCACTCGGGTCTTTGCCTGAGACGTTTCTCCGAGTAATGCATTTCTTCCGAAATATTTTAGACGGGCGTTTCAAATGGGCCACCCTGTATATATACCGCAGTAGACACGTGTTAATGCCATCTCATCAGTTCCTCCGCCCTTTCTCTCTCTCTCTCTCTCTCTCTCTCTCTCTCTCTCTCTCTCTCTCTCTCTCTCTCTCTCTCTCTCTCTCTCTCTCTCTCTCTCTCCCCCCCCCCCTCCCTCTCCCTCCCTCTCTCTCTCTCTCTTTCTCTCTCTCTCTCCCCCCCCCCTTTTCATTTGTACATCTTGCCCCGATCATACGTACGATTTTGTCGCGATTGTCTCCTTGTCATATTACTCCCAAGTCTCTCAATGTGTCACGAGACTTCGTCGTTCAAAACTTAGACCACGTTAGACCACCCATGCGGACAGTTTCTTAAGTTTCCGGCCGGGCTGGGATTATGGTCCAACTGATGGCGTCCTTCGGATAAGCCGGCGATGAGATGCTAGAGAGAAGCTAGAGAGTACACGCGAACGCTGTAGGATCTGATAGGAGCATAAAGAAGCAAGTTGCACTTTTGTTATGCGCGACGCATCATGTCCCAGCCGACGGTCTGAACTCTCGGAGTTTCCAGTTCTCTCTCTCTCTTTCTCTTTCTCTCGCAGGTTCTTTACCGCCCCCCATTTCGCGAATGGCTTTGCTAATTGATATCAAACCGATATCTTCATCTCTCCTTCTCTGTCTGCCTCTGTCTCTCTTTCTGAACTTCTTCACTAGCTTCGTTATTAGCTGTGCATTGCGATGAGCGTCGTGTAATTCTTATGTACGTCACGACAGTTGCGGTAACTCGATAATATGTCGGATACGTGATCGACTGCGTGAACGAGAATTTTAGACGAGAATTTTCACGTATGTTCAAACGAAGATTATGAAATGTCGTCTTGTGCACGCAAGGTTTGTATCGACCGAGAGAAAAGAAAGAAAAAGAATATAGCGCTGTAGGCTCAACGCACAATTGCATTGATACGCAAATTTTGTTGAGAAAGGCCGGCGTACTTTAGTTCACGTTAATTTCCAGAGTCTCTCGACAGACAAGCTGGAGTCCGACCTAACGTCGTTGTATATGCATCATTTAGGGGAGAGTAAGACTTCTTCTTTTCATCGCAGTTAGTGCTTTCTGAAACAAAGCTATATCTTTCTTTCAGTCAAACGATAAACGAAGAAAAAGATGGGGATGGCGGGCAACATCGCGACCTTTCCAGGTTTGTAGACCATATCTCTCTCTTTCTCTTTTTCTCTCCTTTCTTTCTCTCTCTCTCTCTCTCTCTCTCTCTCTCCTCTCTCTCTTTCTCTTCTTCTGTAGATGTTACCGTAAATTTTGGCCCACATGAATATCGATATAACGATATTATATCGTAATGCTGCGTGGAACACAGCGAAAGCGACTAACGAGCCGTTTCTTCAACTCGTTTCAGCGGATGGGAGGAATTTGATTTCGGAGAAGATCATCAGTTTACCGTGGGGGACCTCGAGGAGATCGACCCCGAGCTAGGTTTGGGAAAGGAGGAGCCGGACTCTTGGAGCGCTGCCATCGGTCGCAATGTTGCGCTGCGCCTCGTCGATCACTGCGAGCGCGAGGTGAAGAGGCAGGAGCACATCTACGAGTTCGTGCTGACGGAGAAGCATCACTGCCTGGTGCTGCTCGCCATGGAGAGAATTTTCGCGGAGGGTCTGCAGCGTCACTTTCGCCTGGGCCAGCCGGATCTCGAACGTATGTTCCCCCGGCTGCGGGACCTTATCGAAATCCACCTGCGGTTCCTGCAGAAGCTGCGGAAGCGGCAGAACGCCAACTCCGTGGTCAGCACAATCGCTGACATCCTGGTCGAACAGTTCTCCGGCGAGAACGCGCAGCGCATGAAGAGCGCGTACGGGGAGTTTTGTAGCCGCCATAGGGATGCCGTCGAGGCGTACAAGTATTATCAACGTCACGACTCGCGTTTCGCTCGCTTCGTCCGCCACTGTCAGGTGTGTTACAAACGACCAACAACGCGTGTCACAAATATCAGATTGACTCGAAAACCCTCATCCAAAAAAAGTAATTTCAGAACAAGCGAAATCATCTAAATTTTAAAGGATTTTATTCTTACATATGGCCTCAAGAGGATTCCTCTGAAATTAAAAGAAAAATATTATAAATATACATACATATATACATACATTATTAAATAAATACATTATTCTTAAAGTTAGAGGGATTATATATTGTATGTATAATACAAATCTTATTGATTTTAATATAAATTTCCTCTTATACACAGATTATTTAATCTTTTTTTAAGAGGATTATTATTTGTTCTTACTGGTTATACTGATTAATTACTGATTAATTTGAAAAAATTATTATAATGTATATAGCGAAAAGTAATATATGTAGATGTACTTCTGACTCCAGTTCTACAATAAATAGACACTAATGAAATAAGATCATCATAACAAATAAATTTCCAATCACTTTTATTATGGACTTCATCATAATCAAAGATGTTCAGCATAATCAATTATATGAAACACAGTTAAAAGAAAGAATATATTATTCAACTTCTTGCAATAGATTATAAATTGTATTTGGCCAGATACGAGTAAATTATCTTCGTTATATGTTACATCAACACACATACCTTTTTTAGAAAACGTTCCAAATATTCCGACTCATGAGCATATGATTACTTTTTTGTTCATGTCTGGAGGTAGAGCATGACTGAACAAAAGAAGCTGACATTCAAATCAACATATTCCTCTTCATACAAGAGAAAAATTAATTGGTATAAGAGGAAATCCTCTTGAAATCCTCTTGGAAAGCAGTCGGAATAATATCTAAATTTTAGATGAATGCTTCACTTTAATCGCTTTATCGAAAGAGAAATTCTTTTTCCTTAAAAGGCTTCATTTAGAATATGAGATTATGGAAAAAATCACTTTACAAATAGAATACTTTTTCTGAGTGCTTTTCCTATAGAATGCACGTTTCACTTTTCGACATATTTTATGATTTCCACGAGAGAGCACTATCGGATAAATCCAACGATTTGCGTAGACTGCGGAATAACGCGGACTAACGATGTAATTTCTTTCCCCAGACGAATCCGTTGTTGAAGAAGAAAGGTATACCGGAATGTATACTGTTCGTTACTCAACGTCTGACGAAGTATCCGCTACTGGTGGAGCCGCTCATCAAAACCGGCGTCGTGCAAGAGGAGAGTGAAAACTTACGTAAAGCACTGCTACTTGTTAAGGAGATTTTAGCTGATGTAGATGCCTGTGTAGCCGACAAGGAGCGGGAGGATAGAAAATTAGAAATATACAATAAGTAAGTCCATTTTCCTTCTTTCTCTTTCTCACTTTTTCTTCTCGATCCTTCTTACTTTCAATTACGATGAACATTGTTCGTGCGTCCATCGTTATCAACCCGGGATCACAAGTGATCGTTTCTCGCAGGATCGACGCGAAGTCGTTTGCGACATACCGTGGTGCCAAATTCAAAAAGTCGGACATAATGGCGTTCAACAGAATCTTGAAGTTCGAGGGCACCGCATACTTAATGCAAGGCCGTGGCAAAATGACTGCCATCGTAGTGGTCGTTCTCTCAGACATATTATTTTTCTTGGCTGAGAGAGATCAGAAATATGCGTTCTTCGTGCCTGACAATAAAGCCGGCATAGTGTCGCTGCAGAAGCTGCTGGTACGTGAGAAGGCCGGCCAAGAGTCCAGCATTTATATAATAAGCAGTAACCCAGCCGAACCGGAGATGTTCGAATTGAAAATCCAGAAGCCAAAGGACAAACAGCTGTGGATACAATCGATCCGATCGGCGGTCGAGGCTTGCCCACAGGAGCCCGAGAATGAAGCCGACACGTTGACTGAGAGCAGCAGTGAACTGCGAGACACCCGCTCATCCTCAATCTCGCTCATATCCGTCGAGGAGAAGCAGCGCATCGCCAAAGCCAAGGAGTCGCATATACTTAGAATCGTCGGTACGTCTTCCTCTTGCTTCATTCTCTTCGATTCGTAATTTTCAGTGTCATTCTCATCCATGAGCGAAAAATTTGATCAAACTTCTGTATCGTCAGGCGAGCTGCGCAAAAAAGACGCGGAGCAGGCACTACTGTTTGAAGAGAAAATAAATCTGCAAATGCGACTTTTGCACGCGGCGAACATTTGGGGCGCGAACGAGAGCGACAACGAGAGAATCGAGAAGCTCGAGAAGCTCGAGAAGGAGGTTCCCGATTATACTCGCTTGGCGCACAACGAAGGCTCTGATACCACTCAATTGTGGCAAGAGGTAAGCACTGGACACTTTCCAAATATCACCAATGAATCAGCAATTTATCAACATATTTAACAAGTTTGTGAGAATCTCAGGTTCTCTATTCTATATATTTATATAAATTTCATGTTCAACGTAGGTGGTCATGGCGGTGCAAGAAGCAACGCGCCTCGCTAGCTCGCTGTCGTTCAGCGCTGGAGGTGCTACACTGTCGAGAAGCTTGAGCTCCGCCGGCGAACGCCACAGCGAGGCTTACGTTCCGCCAGCTCTTTGCGTCCCTCGGAGGGCCGAAACATTCGCTGGTTTCGATCATAGTAAGGTGAGAAAGACGGTAAAGTAAGAGGTACGACGACGATGACAAGCGGACTTGATGTTCCAGGAGCGACATCCGTTGCGCGACTCGAACGCCGTGATTCCCGTCCCGAAGCTCGGCGAGCTACCGAAGGAAAGCCCGGACGAAAAGGAAGGTCAAGAACTGGAGACCAACAAGGATCAACAGTTGGCGGCGATACGTTTGTCTCATCACGTTTATACGTTGCTCTGTATAATAAGTAATCAGATGACGACGATCGACGGCCTGCAGGCGCAATTGTCCGCGTGCAAGGAAGGCAGCATGCCCATGGGCAAGTCCTCCAATAGCCGACCGAACTCGAATCGCCAACTGGAGGAACTGCGGAACTTGCAGGATCAGCTCTGCCGGGAAAAGGCCGCGTTTCGCGCCGCATCCCAGCAGGAGAAGAGTCAACTGGAGGAGGAGCGCACCGACCTGGTGCGGCAAAGGGAGCAATTGGCGGCGGAGCAGCGAGACGTGACGCAGCAACGAGACCAGCTGTACCGGCGTCTCGAGGCTCTGGAGCGGCAAGGTGTCACGTTGGTCGGTAGCTCCGCCAGCTCGACTACGATCCATTTGTCGCACCTGACGCAGAATGCCGAGGCGGTGCAGACGCGCAAGTCCCAGCCCGAGGCCAAGCGTATTCCCCTGAACTTGATCAGCGCGACGAATCAGCAGAAGGTGCAGAGCAATTTGCCGGTCAAACAGCAGCTACCTCTCAAGCTGGCCAGCGGCAGCAACAACAACACAAGGTAGGAACATCTCATATAAGCTAATTGTATTTTACGGTCAGATGAAATGAGGTATGATAAGGTCTGTTCTTTCTAGCTGAACTAGTACTTTTGCCGTTGAAAGGGAAAGAAACGAAATTCCAGTGTAGCACTAATTGAGCCAAAGAAAACAGACTTGATGAAATGAAACGAGATGGTACTTTTCATCAAGATTTTTCCAACAATTCGTTGAATCTGACATTATATATCATATTCAGGTTCTTATGAAAAATTTTCACAAAAATTTGGTCATCAACAAATCATCAAATTTTCTAACTGCGCTTTAATAATTTGACCTGAAACGCATGATCGTGTGCTTATTTTAAATATTTTAAATAATAATTATTTCAGATAATTCTGCTCCGTTTTCTTTTGTTCATATCCAAATACAGATTTGAATTCGTCGTACTAATGGAAAGAGGAAAACGATAGAATTCAAATAACAGCCGCGACTGACGCAAACAGTAATCTCGTATTATGACCGACAGAAGCGGCAGTACTGCCAGCAACAACAGCCCGGACCGGCACTCCCGGACGGGCAGCAGCCCGGCCATCGTCACCGGCTCAGCGTACTCATCGCCCGAGCTCGGCAACAACAGCCACGCCGGCAGCAGTCACACGCACTCGTCGAACCGCTCGCTCCGCATCACTCGCTCGCCCCCGGACTCGTACGCGCATCAGACGCAGCATCAGCAACGCGGCGACCCGCCACCGCCGCCGCAACAGCCGCCGCCACCGACGTCGGCGCAGCAGCAACCGCTGGAGGAGGAGGTGATTTTTTTCTGACGACTCTTTCGATTTGGTCGCAAGCACTCGCGTTCTTCGCGCGCGACTACCGGCGTGGCCACGCCAACCTCTACGCCGACCCCGTCGCGCAGCCAAACGAGGAACAACCAGCCCCGCAACCGCGTCAAGTCCTTTTGACTTTCAACGTTCTCGCAGTAACGTGATGTCGCTGTCTACCTGTGTACTCGTTTCTCGCGCACTCTCTCGCTTCTCATCGTAATCCTCCGTTCATTTTCCCCCCTCATGTAGTCTCCTTCCTTCCTTTTCTCCTTGTGTTGTCTATAACCATCGTTCACTTTCGCGTCATACTTTCCTCCTCTTAATGTCACCTCCGGGTCACCTCTTTTTTCTTCCCTTCCCTTTGGTCCGGGTTTGATCGTTTCGCCGGTAGGAAGTCCGTGGTATGATACTTGGACGACGAGCTCGCAAGTTGCTTCCATCGCACCAGCACTGTACGATATTCCATCGTGTCCGCCACGACAACAGCATTGTCAGTAAACTCAATCAATTTACTCTTTCGGTATAGTTTAGAGGAGGACGAGATTAATACCGTTATACATGCTCCAACTGTTACTGATGGCAATAATATCATTTTTATGCCAAATATCAGAATATATACTATTACCTTGGCGAAGGAACCCGTTAGGCATAAAGTGTAATTTCTATTAGCTATCGGAGAGACGTTCTCGCAGAGGGGAGAGAGAGAAAAAAAAGTATTAACGGCCGGCTTAGCGAGGTAGATCAGCCGATCTTGTTGAATTCTTGCGTCGTTACGTTATTAAGCCGACTGACACTGTTTGTAGAGACACAGATTTTAGATGAATCTTTTAAGCAAACCTGTTGCTGCTTGCTGAAAAATGCAAGGTAGATAAAAATACATATGTATAAATATATATATGTATAAATTATATATATATATATACATATACATACATATATATATATATATACATATACGTACATATATATATATACATATATACATATATACATATATAACGGTTACATATACATGGATGTGTACATATATATACTTTTTCATAAGCGTACGTGTGGCACGTATATTTGTGTGATTGTGTGTGCGTGCAGGCGAATGTGTATGTATGCATGTACAATCGAGCACGAGTGCGTGAAACGACGAATGCGTGTGTGCTGCGTGTGCATCTAATTGCTCTGTGTGAATGAATGCATGCTGTTGAGAACACGCGGGCGAGTCTGCGGTAGCTATCCTTGTATCTCGTACTTTTTTAAGTATTTTAATACGTGCTAAAGTAAGCTTTATTATTAACAGTTTATTATTATTATTATTATTATTATTATTATTATATTACATTTAGCACTTGTATTATTATTATTGTGTGTGCCAAGTCGTTGATCGAAGTCAATATTTCGTTTTCTCGATATAAATTTTATACAAATGATTCTGTCGCTATTCTTTTCGACTTAGCGAACGAGTAATGCGACAATTACCGTTGTATACGCGGTGATAGGTACGCTGTGAATGGAGTTGTACCACCTCGATTCTTCCGCATGAATGAAATTAGCACGACGAGTGGCGGGGTGGGGAGGGGGATTCATACTTGACATTTTACTTCGAGATTATTCACTGCCATTATTGTTGTTCTTTGTCGAGTGTCCTTTTTTTTTGTCGTATGATTGTCTACAACTTATTTTATTTATTGCATTGTGTAAGATCAACGATGAAGGTCCGTACGAATCCGAACGGGAGCGCGAAACACGGCGGAGAGAAGCAGCCGGCAATCGCGCATTCGCCAGCACGATTCCGGTCAGCTCCGGTCGCGTTGCGAACTCACTGTTGGACTCGCGCGCGGGCTTTGCATTCCGTATTGTCTGATGTATTTTGTCTTTTTATTTATATATGTCGCATTTGTATATCAACGAAATACGTGAATTTTCGAGTGCCGGGCGCGCGAAAGTGGAGACATCCGTAGAACGCAGGAGCGAACGGTCATACTGCACGTCGGAGCTGAAACCCGCCGTTCTGTATAATACAGTTGATATAGTGCGTATTATAGCGTTTATCTTAGCGAGGAAAAAAATCACTGAACACGTCTGTCCGGTCTCTCGAGACCCAAACACGCAGCGGACGACTGCGATGCGACAACTGTGTTATATGTAAAAGAATATATGGTTACGATGTTTGTCAATACGTATCCGAATTATGGATTCCTGAGATAAAAATATCAATTCAGAAACTGTACAATCATATATATATATATATATATGCGCTGTGTAAATATGACATTCCTCATACGGATAAGACTGGCGTGCAATATGATCGGAGCGAGGTGTACAGCTAGGGCGTCCTTGAGGCACGATATTGTGAAGGAACGACTAATAAATTAACCTCGTTAAGAAGGAACTTAAGTAATACTACCAAACTCGTCTCAATCAATCATGGTGACAATAGATCTTAAAAGTATTACGTAAGAATTACGATCAGGAAAAAAAAAAGAGAGAGAGGAGACATAAGCGACGATTTACTACGAGTCTACTACACTATTTATTACTATTACTCTACCACTACCATCACCACCACCAACCACCACCACCACCAACCACCACCACCACCACTACTACTACTCTATTATACACTATTACTATTCTACTATTGCTACTACTACTCTACTGTTACTACTACTACTACTACTACTACTACTACTACTACTACTACTACTACTACTACTACTACTACTATTACTACTACTATTACTATTACGATGCCGAGCGTGCGTATGCTCACAATTGATATTGCAATTAGCTGTTAATGTCCTCCACGGGTGAGTGTCCGACTTCATCGTGCGCGAGTACGCATAATCTATAAATTCAGCCGCATGATTTGCACACACACACATACACATGCAATGCTCATCGGGTAAAAGAAGAGAACTTTTAAGAAATGCAAAATCGACTATGTAGAATAACGAGAAACATAACTACGATCAATTTCCACCGCGCACTCTCGTGATGGCGTCTTGAAAGCAACGGTATCTTTTAGGACGAGTCTCTCGATGAGACGACAATGTCGTGGCGGATGTGTTACTGAAATACGCCCTCCTCGAATTCTGTCTCCTGATCGGGCCGAGTAATTTATCCATTTCATGAAGTCGCACACAGTATCCCGCAGGATGATAAGACGAAGAATCAAATCGGTAAACAGCTAAGGAATAGTGCGACGGCCTACGCGCGTCTCGTGGCGTGTTTTTTTTTCTTAGAGTTACGTCACGTGACGACGCAAAAAAGAATTTGAGAAAGAATATATAAAGATATATATACATATATATATATATGTGTGTATAAAGATATATATAAATATATATATGCATAAATTTATATATATTTTTATATATATATATATATATATATAGAAATTATTAGTAACGCGGTTTTTCCACGTTTTAGCGAATCTTTACGTCCCCGATGCTCATGGGAAGTATTTTTGTACGTTTACTCTGTACCTACTGTTTCGCTCTAAAACTGTATCTACTGTTATCATTGTGATACTCGCTGCTGCGATCGTCTTTTGAACGTTAATATAATATTACTATAATGTATAATGAACGGGCGTGCGTTTGGTTATTGATACGCTCACGGATTAATGATGGAAGTCTCTTGCATTCTTAAACCATTTTCAAACACGAAGTATTGACTGTAGGCTATTGTCGATTATTGTTGTTATTATTATTATTATCGCCGAATCGTTTTAGTTGATTATCTTGTCAAGACTACCATTTTACTCGTAATGCTCGGTACGAATCCTCTTTATGACGATTACAAAGTGGTTAAGTCCCCTTTTTTAACTCTATTCTCGCTACGACGGAACGAGACCGGTCTCTCACGGTCTCGCTCTCTTCTCCTTTTTCGTCTGTTAATTCCATATAACCGCAGTTATGTGTGATTTACATTCCTTCGTATTTACACGAACTCGTGCTGCATTTTTTGATCGGTATATGACTCGCCGTTGAATAATTAATCGCATAAAAAAATAATACCTATTTATTATAAATGTACATACACCTGTTATTGTATAATAAAGACGAATGTGAGGGAAATACACGATTACGACTCAATTCAAACGTTGTGTGACTCTTTTATCTTATCTTCAATTTCATTTACTCATAAAAACGCCTCACACTCTTGCAAATATTCATTCTCAGCACGATCTGAAGTACGGTTTGCTTCTGTGTTGTCGATTTTTCTCGGCGATAATTTTACCCAGTGATTCACAGCTCGATGGATATTCCGCAGATTCCTTTTGTCGCCATAAGCTAATGGTGCCATGCTCGCCGACCGTCACCAAGGTACCACTCTGAGGATTCGAGAATATGCGATCATTGATTGTTCTAATGATCGTTCTGGATAAGTAATCTCTTCTGATCCCTCATTCCTTACCTTTTCATGCATCCAACTGTCTCGTACTTCTTGCTTATTCCCTACGATCTCGTGACTCACTTCCAGATGATCACCCGCGATGCTCAAGCACCATAGTTTACTTCTGGGAAAAATATAAATTATATATAAAATATACATTGAATATTTCACTTTTCTCTAGTAATATGATTGCAAATACTCTTCAAATGCGCTGCATTTTGTTAGTAAGAAAGGTTTCCCAAGTGCATTTGTGGCATGGTATCTCACTATATAATAATAGATGTAATCAACATCGACATCCTGAAAATCATAAAATCCATTATTCGGCAAGGAAAGCGAAAGGGAAGCAAGTAAAACGAAGAATTTGCTGTCACAATAGAATGAATACATACCGGTATCATTAAGTTGCGACGTTCAAATGTCGCATAGGCACCAGCATCTTCACAATTCCATAATTGTAGCACATGTGTATGCGTCGTACACCACAAAGAGTCGTTGCCTGACCAACCCAGCTTATCCTGAAGACATGATTTAATTAAGACTCCCTATGGCAACTTATATAAAATGTATATACCAGATAATTCTCTTACCACTGATGACATGGTATTTAAGGAGTACATTAAAGCCTCAGCTTCTGACGGCTGCGTGAGGTCAAATACATTTATCAGACCATCTGTACTACCCGATGCCAAAACATTGTGTCTGACAGAATTAAAACTCAGGTCAGTAATGTCATCCATATGTGACTCCCAATATCCACCGAGAAGATTATTCTTATGTTCCTTTGTCGACTTATTATATCTTACATCCCAAAACAAAATAAATGAATCTCCACCTGTACACTCGGTTGCACCAACTATGAGTCTTTGATCATAACTAACATCAAAGCTGATCATAGTTTTCTTTTCGTTATTTGAAAATGAATCATCTGAAACATTAAAGGAGGATATTGTAACATTAGAATCCTTAGCAAGAAAAATTTCTTACCAGTATTTATAATTGTTGAAACTGATAATTACCTCTAAACACTCCCACGAGTTTATTCTGCTCACGCAAATCAAACATTTTAATTTCTCCATTCTGAACACTATAGAATATATCTTTGGAGGCAGGACTAAACTTGATTCCCATAACAGGTGATACTTCGGATGATATTTCATGGATTAATCTAATTGAATCTTGGCTGATATAATTTATTGAGATCTTATCATTTGATGATACATGTGCAAGCTTGAAGTCTTGATCACTATATATAGAAAATGCTTATATAATAAAGATAAAAATTATATACATAAAAATATATATGTAATAATGTTACTTCAAGTCAAATCCAACTAAAAATAACGTTACATTATTAAACAAGCAGATACAAGCAAAATATATATTTAAATATATATTTAAATTTACCAAAAATATAAATGATGTACAAGAAAACAAATATCAAAAATAATAATTATTTAATCAAATTATTCTTAACATTTAACACTGATTTTTAAAACATTTACATACAATGGTGTTACATACATATTGTGTGTGACATAGGATACTTTATACCAATAATAAACTCATTAACAACAATAAACTAGCAAAATAGTTTAACAATTACAAAGGTAATAATGGACAAAAAATATGTCCAGAAAATCATATTTTTGTCATAGATTTGACATGAAATGCTCAGTAAAAAAAATATAAAATATACCATTGAGTTCCATAAACAAGATAGATATATCCATCTTTGGAATTCGTTTTTTCCTTGAACAAAGACAGCTTACTTTCTTTATTGTTCTTGTGCGGCTTCGAATCATTTCCAACGTTCAATTTCTTCAGGGAGTCTATCACTTTCGCCATGCTGCTCTTATTTCAAATTGAAGTAAAATTTATATATTCTAACTTGTTTATCTTGCTATTTTTCTTTTTCTAATTTTGCGACTTTGTCACAGTGTTTTCAGTCTTTTTCTGTGGATAAAATAATTTTTCGTTTTGTTACAAAATATTTTATAACTCCACATTCGGGATAACCTAAAACTTAAAACAATTTCTAAAATTTAAATCCAAACACAACCCTTCACTACATGCTGCTTACAGCAAAGAGGAACGTAAAAGTGGCCAATACGGTGTTTTCGACGACACCGACTTTCCGCACTGGGAAAGGGCGCCATCTGCATCCATTTTGAGAGGGGAACTACGATGCTACATCCACTTTCAGGTTTCGGCGGTAAAACCTGTATGTGGTGGCAGTCCGTGCTACATCCATTTTTAGGCGGTTTATGTCCGTGCTACAACCATAATAGCGTACTTGACAAGCACGGTCTTGCACATTGTTACGCGTTTATAACATGAATTAACATGTTAACATGTGCAAAAAAAATTGACATTGTGTATGATTAATATCATGAAGATCATACGAAGTGTCCGGTAATTAACTGCCAACCCGAAGTGTAAGGGTAGATTGGGTTGAGACAAACATAAAATACCATTTTGCGAGTTTCGCAATAATTATCGAGTTATTAATGACAGAAATCTGAGGAGTAAAAGCGCACCAACATAGATGATTCGAAAAGCGTTGCAGCTGCTCGGGGCAGCGATCATGAATTTTTTCCCTAGCGTGAACTAATAAAAAGTGAAAGACTTCTGTGAATCAGTGGAAAATGAAAAATTTTATATGAATTTGTGAAAATCGAAACATTTCACACGACAATTGAATCGTTCAACATGGCAGTTGCGCGTTCTGGATAATTCAATGAATACCAAAGAAATCAAAATGATCAAAATAATAATGTCCGTGCAGTCCGAAGGATATTACGTGACACGTAAAATCCGTTTGATATAATATCCAAAGAAAATGTTTCAAAATATGTATGTACAGGTAATATAAACCTTATGCACCGACGAGATATACTACAAAGACTGATGGCCTTACAGGATTTAGCATACCAGAGAAATTTCCCTGGTGAGGCACCCGAGCGAAAGAGACCGTCTCGCATTTAGCGCAGTAAAATTTAATGGAAACTAATATTTTTCAATACTTTTTTTCGGATCAAAAAGATTCAGAATTCAGACATATTCAAAATGTCAATACTTTTTAATACGTTTCAATTCGACATTTTATACAGGGAAGCAGGACGAAGGGAATGGGATGCGGGCAACGATACATCATGCGTCTCCAGACGTGTCAAATCGTTTATTATAGAGGAGACTTTAATACGGCAACATGTATTCGAATATTTAATCGTCCCATGGACCACTTACATATAATAAAAAAAAATTAACGCCGATAAATGAACGATTCGTATCAATTTTTTCTTTTCTTGTAGAGTGATAATGAAAGAGTAAATCAGTATCGAAAATCGAATACCGATTAATACCATAAATCAGTGTCAGAAAATTGTCCAATGACAATTTGTTCTCATTTTTCAGGTAGTTACTGCTGTAATTTACACAACAAATTAACTCGGTTAAACGAACGATACGTACCAATTTTTCTTTTCTTATAAAGAAATGAGAGAATAAATCAGTACCGAAAATCGAAGGCCGATCAATACCTAATTTATTCATCAAATTAACGCGGATTAATGGGCGATTCGTATTAATTTTCTGTTTTCTTATAGAGAAATGAAAGAGTAAATCAGTACCGACAATCGAATATCGATTAATACCATAAATCAGTGTCAAAAAATTATCCAAGTACAATGACAATTTGTTCTCATTTTTCAGATAATTACCCATTTAATCTTATTCAACAAATTAACTCGGTTAAACGAACGATTTGTACCAATTTTTTTGTTTTATAAAAAAATGAGAAAATAAATCAGTACCGAAAACCGAAGACTGATCAATACCATAAATCAATGTCAAGAAAATTGTCCAAGTGCAATGACAAGTTGTTTTCATGTTGCAGGTACTTACCCCACTAATTTATTCAACAAATTAAGTCGGATAAAAGAAAGATTCGTATCAAATTTTATTCTCTTATAAAGAAATTAGAGAATCAGTCAGTACCAAAAATTGAAGACTGATCAATATTTAATTTATTCATCAAATTAACGCGGATAAATGAACGATTCATATGAATTTTTTTTTCTTATAGAGAAATGAAAGAGTAAATCAGTACCGAAAATCGAATATCGATTAATACCATAAATCAGTGTCAAAAAATTGTCCAAGTGCAATGACAATTTGATCTTATTTTTCAGGTACTTACCCCTCTAATCTTATTCAACAAATTAACTCGGATAAACGAACGATTCGTATCAATTTTTTTTGTCTTATAAAAAATGAGAAAATAAATCAGTACCGAAAACCGAAGACTGATCAGTACCATAAATCAATGTCAAGAAAATTGTCCAAGTGCAATGACAAGTTGTTTTCATCTTGCAGATACTTACCCCACTAATTTACTCAACAAATTAAGTCGGATAAAAGAAAGATTCGTATCAATTTTTATTCTCTTATAAAGAAATTAGAGAATTAGTCAGTACCGAAAATTGAAGACCGATCAATATTTAATTTAATCATCAAATTAATGCGGTTAAATGAACGATTCGTATGAATTTTTTTTCTTATACAGAAATGGAAGAGTAAATCAGTACCGAAAATCGAATATCGATAAATACCGTAAATCAGTGTCAGAAAATTGTCCAAGTACAATGACAATTTGTTCTCATTTTTCAGGTATATATCCCTCTAATTTACTCAACAAATTAACTCGAATAAACGAATGATTCGTATCAATTTTTCTTGTCTTACAAAGAAATGAGAGAATAAATCAGTACCGAAAATTGAAGACCGATCAATATTTAATTTATTCATCAAATTAACGCGGATAAATGAACGAGTCGTATCAATTTTTTTTCTTATAGAGAAATGAAAAAATAAATCAGTACCGAAAATCGAATATCGATCAATACCAGAAATCAGTGTCAGAAGATTGTCCAAGTGCAATGACAATTCGTTCTCATTTTTCAGGTACTTACCCCTCTAATTTATTCAACAAATTAACTCGCATATATAAACGAACGATTCGTATTAATTTTTTCTTCTCTTATAGAGAAATGAGGAAGTAAATCAGTATCGGAAATCGAATATCGATTAATATCGTAAATCAAAATTTATATTGCTGTTTAATTCCATCGTCGCAAAAGATTTGACGTTTTCTCTATCCTAGTCCTAACTTGTAGAAAATTTGATACTCATCTCTATTTAACAAAAGTACGTCGGACTTTCTGTACTAATTAATATAAAAAATTATTTTTAATTCTCATTTTTTCTACCTCTAATATTTTAATACCGAATCTGTCGAAATGAACCGGTCTGCAGAAATCTTGGCAAGACATTTCTTTCTTTTTCTCGCTCTCCTCTCTCTTGGTCTCTGAATCGCCGTTAACGATCGAAAACCGCGGAAAGTAACGAAAATTTATTCATCCAACTAAAACGTTCTCCGTGTTACTTTGTAAGTGTTGGATAAATACCGATCTGGCGTTTTGTCAAATATCTAACTAAAGTATCTTCGTTTTTTTCTTGCCGACATTCAAATCGGTAGTTTTCTATAAGTTAGGATTTGATAAAGAAAAAAGTCTTTTCCGAGTCGAAATATTAATTCTACATTGATCCTGCAAATTGCATCCAATTTGAAAAATCAATGCAGAATATCTAGATGCGCAATAGTGAACAAGCTTTGTCCTACCTGAACGTTACATCTGGCTACTCTCGCAGTCTCGCCCATGATGAGTCTTCAACAGCGACGTATTCCGCAGTTGTTTAATACTCGTTTATCTCGATAATGTATATGTAGTTAATCCTTTTATATTCTTAATTTAAATGAACAATTTTTGTTAATATTGATTATATATTCGCTTAACAGCGCAAGAAAGAGAACAAAGATAAAAACGTAAATAGAACTGCCTTTGTTAGAACTGCGCGTGAGATAAATATATAAGGATTAAATAATCATATAAGAATTAGAGGAAATGGGGAGATGAAAAACACTTTTTATTCTCATCATTCTTAAAGTTCTTTTTTCCTGTTTTCTTCTTTTCTTTTTTCTAATGAGAATGATGAGAATTGTAGCTCTCAAAAGAGCTGAAACTGCGAAGGCAAAGACAACGGTTATGTCTAATAATGCTGTTTCACTAATAGAGATTTTAATTCAGATTCGGTACAATAAGAAAGATAAACAAGAATGAGAAACGGACATTCTAGCAAATTCTAAACGAAAACAGCAATCTGAGCATTATTAGACGAATAAAAATCAACACTCGTAAAATTTATATCAGATTCTAAAATCATTATTCATAGTTTTCTAAATTATGTGCAACTTTTTATTGAGAACATAATTAAAAATTTATATTCATAAACCTTAGCTTGCCTCAGTAATCTTGCTTGAATAGACATTTCATATTTTATGAGAAAAGAAAAGTAGAACTCATGTTACGTGAAATTAGGATAATGAATAATCAATTCTCTAATGAATAATCAAATCAAGCTATTTTATCATTTTTCAGATGATAAACTATGAATGCTGATCTAATTTCGACTCGGGTATGTCCTTACTTCGAGTATGGTCCGTTAAAATCAGAAAAATCCTGCGTAATAATAATGACTCGAGGTACCTCGAATACCATACATGATGTATCGCTGTCCACGTTTCTCGGCGCGCTCCAAGTCCTCTCTCCATCCTGACTTCTCGATCCGACATCCTCCTTCTGGTTACTCCGTCGCAGCACCCCCGGATACTCCATCGTAGCACTGGCGACGACACTGACTCTAGCTCTAACACTCGCGCAAGTAAGATTCGGACAAAGAAACGCGTATTAACCGCGATACGACTACCGACACTCGTACTCTGCGTCGCGGTATGCGCATCGTTCGTCGGCCCGAGGCGCAATGTCTTTTCCGCAATCACGGAGTCATATATAAGCGTACGAAACCAAACAATCGGGAAGACACGGTTACCCCCCACCTTGCCGAGCAGTGTTGATGCCTGCGTCGTCCGTTAGCTGAAAATGAAAACAACTCGTGTTTTCAAAGCATGACTGTGAGAGACTCGCTTCAAACTTCACAATACTTATTTACGTCTGTTCCAAGAA